CCCTGAGGGAGCCCGGCCCGCCGGCCGCGCGGGGCTTCGCTTAGGTTTTTTTTTGGGTGTCTGTCCTGTTCGTGTAAATCATCATGAAGGAGTGAAAAGGTTCTTCCTTCCTTCCTTCCTTTTCTTTCCTTTTTTAAGTCTCATCGGTGAAAACTCCAGAAGAAAGGATCCTACGCGTCCGCTCCGGGTGTCAGCATTCATTTCGGGCGTCGGGACCGCAGCGAGTCCTCCAGCGTCGCCCAGCGAGCGGAGGGGAAAGCCGGGGCCGGGGGCCGGGGACCGGGGGCGGCAGGCCGGGGACCGGGGACCCGGGGGCGGCAGGCCGGGGGAAAGAGCCCAGTTCAGCCTCATTTAACACCTAGCCAGCGCTGACGGGGACCGGTTTCCAAACTGTCTTTAGTCACTGGAGAAAATAAGGGTCAGACGTGAAGATGGCGTCCTCGAAGTACGTTAACATGGTAGATGAGCTACAACAGAATTCATCCCAACATCCAGCTTCTGCAGCATTAAAATCTGTCGAAATGAAATGGATACCTGTGAGACCCTTAGCAGTTTTCACTGAGAGTGTGTGAGTCCTGTGTAAACCTAAAGTAGGACATCCACCATCACCTTGAACTGTATTTTTCTGCCACACCAACCTTGTAAAATACATATACTAATCTCTGTGACTCTTAACTGTAGAGACTTATACTGAGCAATAGATCTGCAAACAAGGAGAACTGGTGTACAAGTCCACGGCGCCCGCTTTGAGGGTGACTTCAGAGCGCAGGCCTGCTTCCGGGTGGGGGGCCACGCTTTTGTCTCGATTTAGGGCCGGGCTGTTGAGAGAACTTGGTCGACTCAAATCCACAGAAAGCTTAGGTCATGCCTTACATACGGGAGAAAGCCTTCCCAGAGTGTACCTGGGCCTACCTGGGCCGAATAATACTTGGCAGTGGCCTCACCTCAGAGAATAAAGAAGGGTTCTGTTCTTCCAAAAATTTCTGCAGTCTTCCAGACAGACTCGAGGGTTCGGATAAACCTGCTGTCTCCCATTCCCGTAGCTTGAGACGCCCCTGTGGTGGTGGAGTCCCAGGCTGTTGGAAGCCTCCGCCCTATCCCTGCCATCACGAAGCCTTCTGGGAGATTTTGCGGCTCATGCGTCTCAGACAGACAGAAGGACAGCAGGAGGAGAGCTGGTAACAGTCTTCCTGGCCTCAGCGGGCGGGGAGGCCTCTCACCCCCTACTTCAGGGACTCGGAAATATATCAACAAAGCCAGATGTTTTGACTTCACATTTGCAGACCATCCAACCACCCCCCATACCTCATTAAAAATTTACAGTTAATTTAAAAACTTAACGTTTTCTGACGCTCTCTCCTACTGACATGTGATGGATATCGGCTCAAAAACTCGAATCGCCCTACAGAGACTCTGTCGTAGGGACTAAGTTCCTGGAGAGAACAGCAGGAAGAGGAAGGAGGGAATCCGTCTCTAACCCCCCTCCCCCATGGCCAAGATGAGCTGAACTCGGTTCAGGGGCGGCCGGCGCTGTTCACATTTGCGGATTCAAAAGATGAAAAAATAAAAAAACCCAGGCCACCCAAGGACAGAAGGTTGCCGTCACAGAGAAGTCGCTCAAAGGACAAAGGACTTTGGTTTCTCCCAGTGATCATGTGATTGCTCTGTGCAGAAGACTGTGGAGCCAGGTGGGCAGAAAACCGAAGAGAGACCCAGAAGAGGAAGGACGCGATTCGAGTTGACCTTCTTATACTGTAGAACTTGGCTGTTAAGTAAACCCCAGTATTGTACTCGCATTTATCTTCTGCTCACCTACTTTCACTTACACGCAGTATTATATAGTAGAGAAAGGTGGGGAAAATGCAAGCGAATTCAACTGTAGACGTTGTATATATGTAATGCCCGTAGAACCTGCCTGGGTTTGTTAAGGAGATGGTCACAGAGGGCTTATGAAAAATCACATTTGATCATCAGAATGTCAAATAAATAATGTGATCCACTAATTCGTTTGATCTCCATTAGGATCATCAAATACGTATTTTAGTTATTTTTGATTTAACTACAGATATGAAATTATTATATGTAGTGAGTCTCACACCCCTTATATGTGGATATTTTTTAAGTGGACTTGTATGCTGATAATTCTAGACCAAAGTAAATATGGCAGAATATTTATACATGAAAAAAAATAATTTTGCAAATATTTTCTATAATTGTATTCATTTAAAATGTCGATAGCTTGTGTTAGTTTCAGGGAGGGGTGTATATTTTGATAAAAAAATAAATACTTGACTTTGTAATTCTGTATATTCTATACAATTTATAGCAGAGCCATTTTAAGACAACCTGGTCACATTTTTTTTGTCTGTTTGTTAATTGTGAAACTTACGAGTGATGTTCTAAGTCTGCATCGAGTATATAATGATCAAGTAGAATTAAAGTAAGTGTAAGCAAGTGAACATACTGTATGCCGTACAAGATATATTGTCATTTGCCACGTTGACATCTGTATTTGGATCAGAAGATATTATGAAATGCAGATGTGTTAAGGGTTGGAAGAGTCTAATTTTATTTTTAGAAATAACAAACACAAATTTGTTTTTTTTTTGCTTGATTAAAATAGCTTATTCCTACCCAAAGTCTCTTTTAAATGTCTTCACGTGCATTCTTCCGTTCCTGTGTCACAGCTTCCTTACGCATGCACGCCAACTCACGATGTCCGTTCTCGTTTATGCCTCATGGTACCTGCTTATGTGCGTGGGGCACAGATGGATTGTGGCATTTTTAAAAAGCGGAATAGGAGATGTTAGATCGCTTCCAGAAATGGAGTGTTTGGACTAAGCCCCATCCTGTACACACTAGAGTGAAACCCTTGCTGAGACGTATTCTGTTGCGCTCAGCCACGGGGAAGAGATGGCGTTGAAAATGTCGATAGCTTGTCGGTGTGGTCAGTGTCTTCATGCAGTGTCTTCAGCCCCCATCCTGAGGTGGATCTTAACCATCTACATTTTGTGGTGACTCTGAAAAGGTTGCACAGCCAGGATTCCACCCCTGCTCTGCAGCAGGCCTGAGAAAGGCCTTCCTGTAGGCTCTGCTTTATCTGACTCCCGGTTCTCTCATCGCTAAGGAGATTACCCTAGCAAACCAGTTGTAAAGAGTTTTTATCTTGCTTGTGTTTGACGATGGAACGAATTTACACTTTCAGCTAGTAATTTTTCACATGGGGGAAAAAAATCTGTTCTGTGATCACATCTAGGTTCCTAACCTTAGCTGATCATCAGGATTCAAATGGGTTTAATAAGTCACAGAGCTGAAGTGAGAGACTGGGTGGGTGGTCACTCATCAAGCCTTGAAAATCAATAGTCAGGCTGTGCACGCCGATAGTCCTGGCACTCAAGAGGCAGAGGCAGAGGCAGGAGGATTTCAAGCTGAAGACCCCTGGGCTAAACGGATTATAAATAAATGTGATAGTTCCTTACTGACAAGTTAAAATTTCTAAATTACCTTCATACTATGATTTTGATATATCTGTTTTGTAATCTACAGATTCTCTTTTTTTCCATTTTCAGTTTTTTTGGGGGTGGAAGAAAGAGTCCTGGGCTTGAACTGTCCCTGGGCCTGGGCACTGTCGCTGGTCTTTTTTTGCTCAAGGCTAGTACTCTACCACTTTGAGCCACAGCTCCACTTCCTGCTTTCTGGCGGTTAATTGGAGATGAGTCCCACCGACTGTCCTACCCAGCCTGGCTTTGCACTGCGATCCTCAGATCTCAGCCTCTCGAGTAGTAGGATTACAGGTGTGCGCCACCGGTACCTGAATCAATTCAGTTTTAAAGAAATCTGGTTGGGGCTGGGAATGTGGCCTAGTGGTAGAGTGCTTGCCTAGCGTGAAGTCCTAGGTTGGATTCCTCAGTACCATATACACAGAAAAAGCCAGACGTGGCGCTGTGGCTCAAGTGGTAGATTGCTAACCTTGAGCAGAGAAGCTCAGGACAGTGCCCAGACCCTGAGCTCAAGCTCCAAGACTAGCAAAAAATAATAAATAAGAAAGAAAGAAATCAGGTTACTCACAGTGTCAGTAGTAGGCAGATAACTCAGGTTGGTTTACATTTGTCTACTGGGAAGCATAGAATGTTTGAATAAGACGTTTGGATGTGTTTTGAATTTAGACTTGATGCATTGTGATGCTATTTTAGGTACCCAGAGGTAAGAAAAAAAGAAGTGACTGACTCAGGATGCTTCGAGTTTGGGTCCTGAGCAATTTGGAAAAATGCTGTGGCCGGCAGACACCTTTCTCAGAAGAGGGGACTGAGTGAAGGTACGGACTTGAGAGTTATGTTTCTTTTGTTTTAACCATATTTGAGTTAAATATTGGGACTATGAGATGGAGGAGGGCACAGCAGACAGTCCCTGGAGCTGCCCATCTAGTGAGAAACACTAAAAGCTGAGAACCCCCAGCTCTGAAGGGGAAGCGGCTGCGTGGCGCGAGGGGGCCCTCTAGTGGAGAAATCTGATGGTGCCAGGAAGCTCGGGAAAGCCGTGTCCAAAGAGATGGCTTCAGCTGAGATGTCAAAGTCAGCTTGTAGGAGGCCAAAAAGCTAGCTTCAAGATCAGACTGGTGGACAGGATCCATAGCATGTGGCGTAAGAATTGGGATCTTATGCCGGGCGCCGGTGGCTCACACCTGCAATCCTAGGTACGCAGGAGGATCTGAGGATCGCGGTTCAAAGCCAGCCTGGGCAGGAAAGTCTGTGAGACTCTTAACTCCAGTAAACGGCTCAGAAAAACAAGAAGTGGCGCTGTGGCTCAAGTGGTAGCGCTCTCATCTTGAGCTGAGGGTCAGTATTCAGGCCCAGAGTTCAAGCCCCACGACCGATCAAAAAAAAAAATTTGGATCTTGTGCCAAGAAGAACAGAAAGCTACCGAGGCTAGAGATATATATAGCCCAGTGGTAGATCACTTGTCTCACCTGTGTGAGAGGGAGAGAGGGAGGGAAGGAAGGAAGGATAGAAAATAAAGAAAATAGAAAGGCCACAATTGGTTTCAAGCAGATTGGAACCAGGAGAGATACTTAATTGGTTTTGCAATTAGAAATCCAGGCTGGGGCGTTGAGAGTTGCACGAAAGATGGGACCATCTTTAGAGAGAAACCACGATGAGCACAGAGATGTGAAATAAGCACAGAAATGTGAAATAACTTACCCAAAGTAACACAGCTGGTATGTGGAGAAACAGTTGATCCAGGTTGAGTCAAATGGGCGTGGAGTCCAAGAACACACACAGCTCCCAGTGAGGTGTTGGTGGTTCAAAGCCCACCCAGCATCCTTCCTAGTGGGGCCACAGGACACATCTGTGAGGG